AAAGTCAGCAGAGCGTGCAGCAAACAACATCGCAAGTGTCATTAAAAGATTGCCTGAAATATTGATTTTGCAATTTGTTACTTAAAATTTAGTTTGTGCTGTCGATCAAATAGATTTATTTCAAAATGAAGGCACATGCAAACTTGGATAAACGTAGCGAAGACATTTAACCAACCGCAACACACAGCACAGATGGAAACACATGTGCTATCGTCGTATCACGGCGTACACCGGTAAATTCAATTGACAATTAGATCAATTTTCTGTTTGTTTTTTTTTTCAAATACACAAACGTATGCTTACGCTTACATACACTCATATTCACGCACACATACACGTACGTTTGGAAGCTTTGTCAATCTTAGTGAATTCATCTTCTTCCATGTTCTCTCACGTGTCTTACGCTTTACCGGCTCCGCTGTTTATTCGATTTTTACATTTAAATGAAAAATAAAACAATTTTGACTAATTGTTATTAATTTTTTCACAATCTCAACAAGACATGTTTATGATGAAAATATGTATGTCTAATGTAAATGCATGCGCGTGTCAATATATGTTTGTACAAATGTGTATTGGATATATGAGCACATGTGTTTGTTGTATATGCATGCATCTATCTATATATATATGCGTGTGTATGTATATGTATATGTATGTGTTTGTGTGCGTGTGTGTGGGTACGCGTGTGTGCATGTTGAAATGCATCGGACAATGCCAGAGCAACCATTCATATGTTAAGCTGGAATGATTAATGAGTCGGTTTCTTTTAAAATCACATGACTAACTGTTGTTTGATTAATTATTTATTACTCTTGTCCATTGTATCATCGACATTGTAGTTACCATCATCGTCGTCGTCGTCATCATCGTCATCATCTTATACATTAGCATCATATACAATCATCATGATGGTCTTTTGTGGTGTTATTGCCATCATTATCTTTCTTTTTATTATTTTCCGACTTATCATCATCCTCTCTTTTTGATAGGTCAATTAAATCTTATTCTTTTAAATTTTTTATCTTCCTAGTGGAGGTATAAGGATGTATAACAATTCTGTTTGTTTTCCAAATTTTTACTTTCTACCTCTTGCCCAAACATTGCCGCTACTCTATGTTGGACCATTTTCCAATCACTCCACCAATCACAAAGCATATTTTTTTCAAAATTTGTTGTTCGTGATTTTTAACTTTTTTCTACCCTCTACAAAAAATTGTTCTAAACTGACAAAAAACCTGCTTAATAGCTATAACGCATGTCTTAAACCACTTAATACAAGCTGCAGTTTAGTGTTCCATCACTTACTTACTACCAATATGGCGAGCACTTATTTATATGATAGTTTCATCTTCTCTCTGCACTCTTCAAGTTTCCATTTTCTATAATTTTAATTTTATTTCTTAGCTGTGCCAATCTGGTTAAGTATTTTAGATGTAATAAAAGTAATAATAGTAATAATAATAACGATATTGACAACAACAATTCCGATAATTTTCTCATCATCATGATCCTCATCCACTTTTTAATCTGTGTTATAATAACAATCATTAGAAAATAGTCGGCTTTCAATCAATTAGTCAATCTTTTAATTTGTTAACTCTTCATGCCTAATGCGTTTCAGTGCGATTCGCGTTCGACTTTCCTTTCATTGGCCGCTCAATTCTCACACGTACGCGCAAGTTTGCTAACATTCACGCGCGTACACTCAATCACATCCATTCAACATTGTATAATCTGTAGATCATCATACCTTCACCTACTTATATGTAACTAATCTTTATTTACTTTCATACAATCGTATACATAGGTACATACATAGATACATGCAAAGATACATACATAGATTCATACATAGATACAAACAAAGGTACATACACACATGCATACACCCATGCAAACATACCTGCACACATAAAAACATACATAAGACTCACATATATGCACACATACATATTCATTCACACAAAAATATTTGTACACACGTACATTTAAAGTTACAAATGTAAATAAACATATATTTATTCACCAACATGTAAACTCTTTATCTCTCCTCTCTCTTTCTCTCTCTCTCTCACACACACACACATACACACACAAACTTTAAATGAAACAACAACACATATATATCAAACTACTATGTACTGAAATTATACAAATATTAATTTTAACGCATACACTAAATGTTGTAGGTAATGTTGTTTGTCAACTGAACAACAACCACATGACGATAAAACGACGACAACTTCGATTTGAACGCACGATGTTATTAGAGTTGTAATTATTGTCATGTCATTTGTTGTTGTTGTTGTTGGTAGTGATGTTGTTGTTGGTGGTGCTGTTCTTGTAGTTGTTTTGTTGTTGTTGTGAGTTTTGTTAATTGGATTTTAATCGTCGTGATATGATCAAACTTGGTTGTTGTTGTTGTTGTTGTCGAGATTTAATGTTATTTCTTTGTTTGTTAACGTAGCAATCTTTATGTATTGATTTGATATATTTATTACCATTGTTGCTATTAATGTTATTGATGTCTTGAATTGTTTAAATGACAACAACATTGAAACAGCATCAACAAATAATTAAATTTTTATTGAATGCATCTTAAGGAAGTATTTGATTACTTAGTAAAAACTACTGCCGTAAAACTAAAAAAGTTATTTAAATAAGCTTTGGTATTTAAAATTTTAGGTAGTAGTAGCATGAACGGTAGTAGTAGTTGTTTAGTTTAGTAACAGCAATAGTCTCAGTAGTAGTTGCAGCAGCAGCAGCAGTAGTAGTAGTAGTACTAGTAGCAATGATAGTAGCAGAATATTTACTGATTAGTAATAATTGCTGTAAAGGATGAAGTAATAATAATTTTGGTTATAATTGTTGATAATTTTGCAGTTGATTAGCAGTTGTTTAATTTATGACAGGCATTCAAAGCGATGCGAAATTGATGGCACATTGTTGTTGATGTCAGAGCTGAATCAAATTTAATGTACTTGTGACAATTGAAATGATGTCGACATCTTTAAAAACATTAACTTGCGTGCGTGTTCTTTCATTGTTTGTATGTGTACGCGTACATGTTTGTATGTGAGTGTGTACATGTTTGTATGTGTACGTGTACATGTTTGTATGTGTACGTGTACATGTTTGTTGATGTTCGTCATTTTGTCAATGCAGTCGTGCTGGAATGTTGTTTGTTGCTATTTGCATGTGTGCGAACGTACAGCAAAAACAATCTGAAACATCAACAGCCAACAAAAATATCAATGAAACACGCACTAAAACAACAACTACAATATTACAACAACAACTAAAATACACCAGCAAAAACAGAGCAACAACACAGCAACAACAACAATACAAAAACAATAAAACCACAATACAAATGCAACAGAAACAACAACAAAAACTACCGAACATCATTGTTATCAATGCATCCATATTTCCTCTGTAAAGATAAATGGTAGTTTTCAAATTAGAAAACAATAAATATATGCAACTTCTTTTTTCAATCGACCAATAACAATTAGCATTATATAATTATAGATGCATGCATACAAGAATGCATACCTACATCCTATCGTACAGACACAGATATACACAAAAACCTACCCATATACGTGCACATACGTATACAATCATATACATCAATATATATATATATATAAATATGTAACATCTACGCACAAAAACGCTAACACATACACACAAACACACACAGCGCACAAATACAAACATATACATAAAGCATGTGTTGTTTAATTCAGTACATTTCCCTCATCATATCACATCGTATCATATCTGCTTACAACTTTTTATCAGCTTAGTTGTCAATAAAATGTTCAAAATGTCAGTACAGTCGTGTGTACATTACATTAAAAAACAGTTTACATTTTACGCTTGATCAATTGTAGATTAATGAAAATGTATTTGACTAGTCATCATAATAATTCTCTTACGTCATAAAAATGTTCACATCATTTTGATGATGGTGATGAAGATGATGGTGATGGAAGATAATGGCGGTGATGATGACGGAGGTGATGATGACAGTAAAAAAATGCCGATGGAGATGATGATGATGAGGATTATGATGAAAATAATGGTAAAAAAGAGTTGTGCTGGTTAAGATGATGAAACTGAAGAAAAGAGTTTGATGAAGAAGATGATGATGCTAATAACGATGATGCTAATGATGACGTAGATAGATAAATCGATAGATGATGGTGATGATTCTAACCAAGAATTCTCCATAATGGTAAATGAATATAAATGAACGGAACGCAATACGATTAAAATTTGATAAATTGCAAACAATCCATTGAAATGAGAAAAAAAAATATTTTATTCAAAATTAAAAACTTGCCTAGCAACAAAATGATATTGATCAGAGAAAATAAATTTCCACCCATCAATGCTTGATTGTTTGCCAAGAATTATTATTTCAATATTGGATTTGTTTACCATGGATAGAGCCATTGTAATGAAATTTATTTGTTTACTCTTGGTAAATATTAACGATAATTCTAAAATTCGATATCTTTTACATATTAAAAAAAATATTTCGATTAAATATTTATACTTAAATAGAAATTTGCAAACTGGATAAATGTCACGTTTTAATTCGTCTAGAACAGCAGTGGGGAGGTTAAGAAATTATAATTTTGTTGTTGGCTGTAAGCGAAATAGTATTTGTTTTTATTCACACTGATATATTGGTGTAAATAGTATTTGTTTTTTATTATTTTATAATAGCGAAATAGTATTTATTTTTATTCACACTGGTCAAAAGCAAAATGAATTTCATTTAAAAAATTTTTTTAAATTCTACTTTTTACTTCACCATTATGTCCGTCACATATTTAGTAAAACAATTTTTAAATAACTGATCAAATTGCCTATGAAACGTTAAACAGAGTAACTTATTTTTAAATGAATCTCAACGATCGATTCAATTTGCCAACGCAACACAACAGGACAGAGCAGAACAGAGCAGACGCAGCAGAAGAATGCCTCGACCAGGCCGCAACACGTACAGCGACCAGAAACCCCCCTACTCCTATATCGCCCTCACTGCCATGGCCATTCAGAGCAGTAGGGACAAGATCATGACCCTCAGTGAAATCTACCAATTCATCATGGACAGGTTTCCTTACTACAGAGAAAACACTCAGCGCTGGCAGAACAGCCTCAGACACAATCTCAGCTTCAACGACTGCTTCGTGAAACTGCCCAGGAGACCCGACCGACCTGGAAAGGGAAGCTACTGGACGTTGCATCCGCAGTGTGGGGACATGTTTGAGAACGGAAGTTTTCTCAGGAGGAGGAAAAGGTTCAAGGAACATCGTTTTCTTCGCAACATATTTCAACAGCATCAACAACAACAACAGAAACAACAACAGCAGCAACAACATCAACATCAACATGCCCTGTACAAAGATTTTCATTTCAACGCAACAAAAAGTTTGATGTCTTTAAAGAACCCGTTCTTTTCCGCTCCATCTTCTACACATCATTCCTTCATGAGAACTCCCAAAATGAACCACATTGATGGTGACGTCAATCGCATTTTGGCAACGAGGAAATCACTTCCGCTTCCTTCGGCCGTGACCTCTTTTCACTCCAGCATGGTTCCACCCTCACAACCATTTCCTCCATTTTTTCCTCCAGAGCAAGCAGTTCTACTGCACCAACATCTGCAACATCAACAAGCCAAAATGAAACATCTTCTTCCCTCTCTTCCACCACCACCACCGCTGCTACCACCTCCACCTCAACTGCAGTTTATGCCTCCAATGTTGAATCATCCACTTTCTCGTTCCCTTTCTCCTGATAAACCCTCACTTTTGTTGCTATCTCCCAGAATGGATCATGACTGCCACGACGATGATCAGATAACGAGGATGGACAACAGTCAAATCAAGTGCGAAGATTGCAGCGACTCAAGCAACCTCAGCTACTGTCGCAGTAGTGAAAGTAGCTGCAGCGTCGGAGGTGAAGATGGCAGGTGTAGTAGCAGTATCAGCTGCCGAAGCAACAATTGTCACAGCGATGATGAAGATGACGACGATGATGACGTTCATACGCCTGTTAAAAAACGGTTGCTGTCTTTGACAACGCCATCACCAACCCGAACAGAAAAAATGCAGCATTTACATGCAACGAAGAATACAACAGCTCCAACAGTCATCACAACAGCCTCGACAAAAAATAACGCAGCGTTGTCAGCGGTTCCTGCAAATACGTCCACCACAGCAACACTCTCTGGCAAGTGCTCGTTCACAATTGAAAATTTGATCGCAACTCACAAAAGCTCTACCAAAGCCGATGAAAAAACTGTAAGCAACATTGTAGACGAGAAAATGGATAACAGTCTAGTCAACAACAACAACAACAACATTAAAGACAACAACGTCAACAATCACAGCAAGACCCACAAAATAAGTAACGTTATGCATGCTAACAATAAAAACCTCAACAATTTGAATAATAATTATGAAAGTCTCGGCTGTGGGGCAACGATCCAAAACAACAATAACAACAACGAACAAGCCATTTCTAACAATAAAAAAACTGATTACAGCAAAAACAGTATTGTTGGCAACAACACTAACAACGTTAACAACAACAACAACTCTAACAACAACCAAAATAGCAATGTTATTAGTAGCAGCTGCACCAACAACAAGGGCAACATGGTAAGCACAAATTTCATGAATCGTCTAATGACTCCATCAGCCAACGAACTTGTATCTCTGGCATTCAGACACCAGCAGCAGCAACTTCAACAACATCTGCAACAGCAGCAACAACATTTTATAAGCCACATTCAGCAACAACATTACAACAGATTCAACAGAGATTTTGAGCACTGGCGCAACCACCAGAGCTTGCCTCATCAACTCAATCATCATCACCAACACAAACATTTTTACGCTCATCAACAACAACATCAACAACAACAACATCAGCAACATCAACAACAACAACATCAGCAACATCAGCAACAACATCACGAACATGTTGCTAAAAGTTATAACGCGTCTAAGCAACAATGTAAGAGCAACAAAATTCCAGCATTCAGCAAACTGTCACCTCCTCCTCCTCCACTAATGAATAAATTAAAATACGTCAACAATAAAAACATTGCTAGCAACAACAACAACGTAAATAACCACAGTGTTATTCATATTAACAACAATAACATCAGTAGCAACAACAACAACATTAATATCAACAACGCCGTTAAAAGCCTCAAGAACAAAACCAGCGATAACGAGAACAATTCAAGTTATTTCATCAACAATGACATTGTCTCTGAAAACAAAAACAACAATAGCAACAATAACAATAATAATAATAGCAATAACAAAAATAATGACGTCGACGACAGCTTCAGCAGCAGCAACAAAAACAACAACAACAAAAACAGCGTTGTACCTGGCATCGTTTCAAAAACATCTCCCAAACTAATCAACCATAAATCTCCGCCAGCAACTCCACCATCACCATTTCTACAGACATCATCGTTGTCGTCGTCACATCTAGCACCACCGCTACAATCATCATCATCAGTGCTGCTATCCCCTTCTCCATCAACACTTCCCATGAAACCTCCCACGCACACGTCGGCTGACCTTCCAGACCTCCTCAAGGCCATCAACAAAAAGAAGGAACCTTTCTACCTGGCCGGAGTTGTTACCGATGACGTCACAGATCATTCGGTGACGTCACGCACACAACAACAACAACAACAACATAATCATCAACAGCATCCAGAGCAAAGTAATCACCAACAACAAAAACAACAACAGCCATCACTTACCCATCTTCACCATAATCATCATCATCTTCATCCACAACAACAGCAACAACACAAAGGCATATTTCAAAATCTGGACATGAATCCAGCACGGATAATGGTCGATTCGACGAGATGAAAGAGACAAACAACTCCACAGCATTATTCTCCATCAATACTCTCCTTACATTAAGCGTATTAACATTATTACTCCTAATGCTATTTACAGTCTTACTACGACAATTTTTCCACTGTCAAATTACCACCAACTGTTTAATTAACCCTACCGCTCGCCTCAACATCTTTACAGCTAACCACCAACTACTCATTCATTACAATCATGGCAAAAATTTCCAATTCCTCATCCAACGAAATCTTTAATATGAATTATAATGTTTGCACATCTATTTTGCAGCGATAGATGTAGATAAGTTAGTGTAACGGATAGAGGCGCCTAGTTCTACCCTTTTTATGCAAGGTGTGGACTGCAATGATACTGCAGTATGCAGTAAGATAAAAGTAGTCAATATTATTATTATTATATGATTAGTATTTTTATATTTATTCTATAAACTTCTCTTAAGCGCCAACATGTAAGTTAATGAACTGAATCACCACAATGAAAACGCAAATAGGAATTTCTGCAATCTTTGTTGAAAAGCGCTGACAAACATCACAATTATAGAAATATAACAAATTTATTTTTATGATAAATAAGGCCAGTAACCTCGTTAAAATCGTTATCACAAAAATATTTGCCGGTACTAACTCTACTGTTAACAATGCTAATATTCCAGCCGGACTACTTTTACTGCTGCTACTACTTTTGAATTAATACTACTACTATTGAAAAGTAAAAAATAATTCAAACACATGCCAACTGCACTACAAGCCAGGCAGTTGATTGCGGCAAATAATCTGATTCATTACTTACAATTTGTTAGTCTCTTTGAGAACAAAAAAGAAATACCGATTTCAATTCCAGCTGTGGTCCGACGTTCTCATCATCATCATCGTCCTCGCCATCATCACCATCATCATCACCATCATCGGATTCCTTGTTTGTCTTCACCATTTTATCATCACCTCTGCAATCATCGTTTTCGCCATCATCATTTCCATTTTTTTCCCTCTCATTTTCTTCCTTTCATCATCATTTTTCTTCAAATCATCGTCGTCGTCATCATCGCCACTTCATCAACTTCACTCACAATTTGATCATTTTAAATACCTGATTGTCATGATTGTTCATCATATAATGATTGCATAAGATGATAATACTCATAGAACAGCAACAAAACAACAACCAACATATACAACAACAACAATCAACAACACCTAAAACTAAATTTTTTTACGAATTCTTGTTATATATTTTTTATTAAACGCTATACAAATTCATGACATTAATTCTTGATAAATTAGTTTTTTCTTTTTGTTATAATATAATATTTTATGTAAATAAATAAATATCATAGTTGATGTTGTTGCTCTAGTTATCACTTAACTTATATTTCGTACACTTGTATCTATATTGTATTTTACACTCACTCACACACACACACACGCGCACACATACGCACACACACACGCACACACACACATATATATAAATTTATTATTTATTGAATTTTCGTATATCCAAATAACTATTTAAACATGCTAATGTGAATATTATGTAAAAAGCACAAATTGTTACAGCTACATTGCTTTATATGTTTGTTATATAAAATAAACACGCACAGATTTACACATACACACACACATACACACACACACATAAATGTATAATTTTGTTGTTTTAAGATTTTTTTTAAAGAAATTGATGAATTGTACAAAAAATAGCAAAGAATGATGATGAACATTAAGAAATGATATGTTTAGGTAAATATTATATGCTTTAGGTTGATTGAATGATTGATTAAATGGTTGGTTAGTTGATTGATTGATTGATTAAAAGAACAAATAATTGGTTGGTTAGTTGGTTGGATGTTGGACGTTTGGTATGTTGGTTGATTGGTTGGTTGGTTTGTTGATTGGTTATAAAGTGTACTGTCTGTAAAGTGATTGAATGTCGATTTTGACTGGCTGGTTGTTAACTGTTACCTTCTCCACATCCCAAATGATTTGAAGCAATAAAAAGTAATTTTTAAACATTGGAATTTTTTCATTTGTTTCAATTCTTACATAAAAGAAGCCAAAAAAATGTAATATTAAAAATCTAAAAATCAGAAAAATAGACCAAATATGTACACAGATACTCCTCAGGTATATGCATAGAGAGAAAGTAAAAAAAAAACGAGAAGAGGAGAGAAGATAATTGATAAATTTTATCAAATTTTTAACGCTAGATAATTTGCGTTTTTAGCTATTAACTCTACTCTAAGATGGAGCTCATTTTCCTGCTCAGTTGTTACGTCTCTCTCTTTTTCTCTCTCTTTCTCTTTTTCTCTTTCTCTCTCTTTCTCTCTCTTTCTCTCTCTCTCTCTCTCTCTCTCTCTCTCTCTCTATATATATATATATATATATATATATATATATATATATATATATATATATATGTTGGTAATAGACCATAATTTTTACAATATTCTATAAATTCTACCGAATGTTTGGCGTTAATATGTTTCAAATTCGAAATAAGTTTATTTTGAATTTTAATAAACTAAACGTTCACCAAAAAACTTTAGTGAGAAAAATCGAAAAAACGAACTACAAACATATTAACGCCAAACATTCGGTAGAATTCATAGAATATTGTAAAATATATATATATATATATATATATATATAATAACAATAATATATATAAAAATCTACAACCACAAATGATTTTAAACTGTTGCCGGCAAAACAATTCAACATCAGTAAACAACACAGCGTGTGAATTAGTTTTTATAACAGTATTCAGATAAATTGAGAGTTTGTGCACTGCAAAAAGTAGCTATAAAGGTCAGCATTAACCAATCACACATATATTATCTCAATAAATTATTTACATACACAGCAAACAAACGAATGAACAATTCAAGAGAATGAAGAATTCAAACGAATGAACCAACAAACAAATGAACCAACAAACGAATGAACCAGCAAACGAATAAACGAACAAACAAACAAACAAACATAGAGTCACAGGTAAATAAAACTGTTTGCATATCAGAGAGTGCGGAATAATGTATTTATAATTCATGTGTATATGTTTCAAGTCATCAATTCGTTTGCAGCATCGCATTCACGCGTCAGCACGTTTTCCTCATAATTCTGTTTATTTATTTGGTTAGTAAATTAAAATTTAATTAATTCCTATTAACATTTAACTAGTAAACAATAGCACAGGTGTTTTTGAAAAAAAAAATAAACATATTATTTGATAGTTAGGTATTTAAAACGTATTTTCCGTCACATCCATTCTTATTGCGTTAACTCGACATAAAGAACATAAACCATTAAAATGTATATTAACTTCAATAGCTACGACGCTTTTATGACATTAAACAATGACATCACGTTGACCGATCTTATGAAAAATGATCCATGAGACATTTTTAAAAACCTAAAATAAAAAATTACATTTAGTTCCTTTTGATTTCTATAACAAACCTTCAAATTTTATCACACAAATTTTGTTGGTGACGGCAATTTCCAAAAATCGCCTTTTTTCACAGATCCAAAAATTGTTTAGTAGGGGGAGCAAGGGCTTGAGGAATGTGTGACGTCATTTATCGTTTCTTGGTGATGGGGTTTTTCCCGGTTTGGGTGATTATTTTAACGGGCATAGTTTGTGGGGAGAAAAAATATTCAGAAGAATATTTCAAAGATCTCTAAAAAATTTTAAAATTTTGGTTATATTTTTTATTTGGTAGTAGCAATACCAGGAACCCATTTCCTGTATCACACCTGTGTATTTTCAACTGACAAAACCACCACCACCACATCCAACTGGTCTAATTTCCGTTACAGAGATATTTTGAGTAAATTTTTAAAACTAGCAGCTAGCACAACGTCATCCTGTGTTAGACTAACATTTCGACATCAACAACTCAACAAGAAACAATACACAAACAACATCAACATCGCAACATCAACATCATTACATCAACGTTACAACAACATCGTGATCAATACAACAACATCGATCCTACCCACAACGACAAAAATCATCATAATTAAAAATACCAACCATAACGAAAAAACATTTATTTCTCGGGTCTAAAACTATATAAAAAAAGTGTTCCTCCTTACTCCAAAAAGATTTTCAGCCAAAAACATAACAACAACAAAATAAATAACCACAAAATAACTAGACCATGAACTGTTTATTTGCTATCAACGTTAGCAGCAACAATTTTAAAAACTTCGACAACAAAACATTATAATTAACAACAACATTATAAAAGTCATCAACAACAACAACATTATCAAAGTCGTCAACAACAACAACATTAACAATATCATCAACAACGCAGCATGTTATAGTTAAAAACATCACCAACAACAAAAACAACAACAATTGCAACAAAAACACCAGCGAAAAATACAACAACAACAAAATATCAACAACAACAACAACAGCAACAACATTAACAACAGCATAAGGCGCATTCATAAAATATGCAACAATGTAGATTCGTTCGTTGAGCTTTTGAAACAGCGTTTCGAGTGTGTATATTTCTTAACAAGTGTTCTTTGCTTGTTTTCAATATCAAACGCCTGAGGTACCCTACCACTACTACAACAACAACTACTACTACTACTACTACTACTACTACTACTACTGCTGCTGCTGCTGCTGCTACTACTACTATACTACTACTACTGATACTACTACTACTACTACTACTAGCAGTGTTACCATTAATGTTAATGTTGATGATAAAAAATGATAACATTGTCATCAAAAACATATAGAGGCACTCCAAAAAATAAAAATCAACACCGAAAAAAGTATCGCAACACACACATAAGCGTAAAACAATACAGTTACACACACACACACACCTACACGTACACACACATCTCAAACACGCACACTTCACATATAAGCAACGCACGCCTAAGCATTTTGCGCGTTCTCAATACCAACACATTCGTTAAAGCGCTCATTCGCGTTGATTGTTTTTGACGGAGTTACATACGTGCAAGTGCTAGGATAGGAAATAATAAATATTTATAGATGCACAAATCCCTCTACTCTATCTGAATAAACACGATCTCGCTGCTGCTGCTACCTTCCACTTCCATGCATTCCATCTTGCACTTTGTTTCCTCTTCTGCTCTGTTCTGCTCTGTTGTTCGGTCTGTCTGTCTGTTTGTCTGCCTGCCTGTTTGTTAACCGCTTTGCTTTTTACGCAAGTGCCCGTGATTTATGCTGTGTTTGTTTGTTTGTTTTTGAATGTATGATTTGAGCATTTGATTTCATCATCGTTGTTGTACGGTTACAATTGTTTCTTAATATACAATCTTCCTGTCGTAAGCCGAATGCATAAGAACTAAAAACCTGCTAAACAAATTCACAATCTATTATTTCTTATTTTATTAAAACTTGGTGAATGCATAAACAGAAAAAAAGAAGGAAAAAAAAGAGAGAAAGAAAGAAAGGAAAGAGAAGAAGTGGAAAAAAGAGAAAGAAAGCGCTATTTATATATATACAGATGTGAGCAAACACCAAACATATATGTCTTCATAATATGCGGGATTGTTTACATGTTAGTATTCCTGTGGAGCACAGATGTACGTTAATCCAGGCTGATGTTGTTGCTGCTGTTGTTGTTTGCTTGTATGTCATGTTGTTGTTGGTGTTGTTGCTTGTATGTCATGTTGTTGTTGGTGTTGTTGCTTGTATGTCATGTTGTTGTTGGTGTTGTTGCTTGTATGTCATGTTCTTGTTGATGTTGTTGCTTGTATGTCATGCTGTTGTTTGTATTTTTGTTAATCTTGCTATTATGTTTTTGTTTTGTCCTGCCAGACTGGTGCAATTGGTAGTTTGGTTGGTTTAATTTTTACCGTTACCGCGGTTGTATTTGTTGCAATCTTGCATTTTTGCGTGTGTGTTAACGTTTTCAGTTTTGAAAAGCACAAGTTATTACATGTGTAAGTGTAAACAAACCAACTAATAAATAAACAAACACAACGACCAACAACAAAACAACAACAACAGCGAGCCGTTTCACAAACAACCAATCAGAAATGGTTGCATGTGTCATGTGACAATATGCGCCTGCATCATTTGTCTTTGTTTATTTCGCATCTTTGTTTTGTTATCGCCATTCTATGTTTATTACGGAAGTGAAGTGGCAATTGGGGATGTTGCTGTAACGGAAGTGGTGCTGTGATAGTAGTAGTAGTAGTAGTAGTAGTAGTAGTAGTAGTAGTAGTAGTAGTAGTAGTAGTAGTAGCTTTGGTAGTAGTAGTAGTTTTAGTAGTAGTAATAGTAGTAGTAATAGAAATGGTAGTAATAGCATTGAAAGTCGTAATAGTATCAGTGTAGTAACAGCAAAATAGTAGTGGTAGTTTTAGTTGTAATAGTATTAGTAGTAGAGATAGTTATTGTTGCTTATATTGTTGTGAAAGAAACAGTTGTAGTAGTAGCGATGGTGGGGCTACTAGAAGAAGCGAGAAATTTGAAAATATCAATGTAAATATATTAAAAAAATAAAAACATCCACTTTTCACACTGAATCTGATAAAACTTAATAACCTAGAAAGTATAATAAATTATTTTTATTTTTTTAAATGCAGTAAGAACAAAAATGTTGCAAACAGATGCAAAATAATTAAAATTGATGGAACGGCGTGTAGAAACTGCTGCAGTGGTAGCGTTCAGAGCGTGCGGCGATGAACGACTGTCGCTTTGTTGATCCAGCGACTCCTGCTGCTATTGATCGCATGTGATATTCTTTATTGACAGAAACAAAATGAGTTTTGCGTTTCTATTCGGCGTACAATTTCGCACCTTCTCAATACAATAGCTATCAATCGCTCTGCGTGTGCGCTCGTGTTTGTGTGTGCGTGCGTGCGTGTGTGTGTGTGTGTGTGTGTGTGTGTGTGTGTGCGAACTCTTTCGTTTGCGTCTGTGTAAACTATTGCGTGTATGTGTGGATGTGTTTTATGTGAATTATGCTATTGCATGTTCGTGCGATTGTGCGTCTCAGCGAATTATTTAATATATATATATATATATATTTGTGTTTGCTTTTGTATTTGTATCGATGCCTCGTCACAAGTTCTTATCTGTACGTTTGATGAAAAGTTTGTGTAACTATCATTGTTGATAGTTGGAGCAAGTTGTTATGCGCATTAAGTGCAAATTGATATTGTGTGTGTTTGTGTTTGTGTGTGTATGTGTGTGCGTTTGTGTGTGTGTGTGTGTGTAAGCATATATGTAGCATGTAATATTTTGTGTATATGTGTCTGTCTATATTCTGTGGGCGCGTGTACGTTCGTAGTGGTGGTGATGATATCTGAATGATATCAATGATATCATTGTTTAATATTTCTTCTGAATATCTTCGATGATGTCATTCTTGCTTTAATGAAGTAATGAAGGAGACATGTACATCACGTTTGTTTCATTTGATCTGTCTGTATGTATATCTGTGCGCGTGTGTGTGCGTGTGTGAATATTTTGTTTTGCCCAAGCACACCCAACACACATGTGTACGTGCACATTTTTCCACCTGTGTAGATACACATTTCTTATCTGTTACAGATTAACATGTCAAATTAATGCCTACCAATAAAATGTTAACAAATTATTCAATTAAAATAAATACTGACATACAATACAAAGTCAGCGTTGCTTCAGCGACGACGACAAATTGTTGTTGCTCTCAATATAAGTTTGATCCCACGCTATGCACGTTTGCACGGGACATGTGTTGTTTATGTTTACATGGGAATCAACAATTTCAAACCAAACAACAACTACAACACATTTGACATGGCAGACTAGATAAAAACTTTAATTTAAAATATGATTGCAAGTGTTGAACTAACACTCTACTCCTTATTGGTTCATTCATATCATCAGATTGATTGTTGTATCTGGATCGCTAGTTATATTACTACGTCGGGTACACTTTTTTCAATAAGAAATTTTCCAACATTTTCACATTTCGAATTGATACCGAAAGAATTGAATAAATTTACCACAACGGCAACAACATACTTAATGTCACACATTTGTTGTATGTTGTAATGTTATTAATTCGTCTACCAAACCAACACATAAACAAACAAACAAACACGTTTGTTATAGGCTTGTTACGTTCATAAATTTGTTTATCTTGATTAACTGAGACATTTGTTACATCGGAATGTTTGAAAAAATAAATAAATCCGTGGGAGATGCACGTGCAATAATAAAAATTAATGCGGTGCAACAATCGAAGACATCTCATTTCACACAACAGCAACATTTTACACACCAACAACAACACAACAACAACGACGTCAAAACAACGACACATCTCTTGGCAAGGTTTTAATCTTAATCTCATGACACGTACCTATGTGTGTATGTTAATTAATTTTATTATTTTTTATAGGGCGACCAAGATATAATGAAATAATATATTAATCAATCTTATTATGTTAGCCGATTGCATAATCATCAATACCATTATTTTATTATCATTAATAGTAGTAGTAGTAGTAGTAGTAATGGTGGTGGTGGTGGTGGTGGTGAACGTAGTAGTTGTAATAGCGGCAGTAGCAATAGTAGTAGTAGCAGCAGCAGCAGTAGTAGTAGTAAAAATGATTGCGACAAATAATAACAATAGTGATAGTTGTGGTAGGAGCACTAGCATAAATACTAGCTGTAGTAGTAGTAATGGTGATAGTAGTAGTAGTAGTAGTAGTAGTAGTAGTCGTAGTAGTCGTCCTAGTAGTGGTAGTGGTAGTAGTAATAGTAGTAGTAGTAGTAGTAGTAGTAGTAGTAGTAGTATTAGTTGTTGTTGTTGTAGTAAAAGTAGTAGTAGTAGTACCATTATTTATATAATTATATATTCAGCAACAACTACACGAACGTTGTTGCTTCGCTTCTAAATAACAACAGCAACAATTTAATAATTTTCAGGTGTTAGATCTTTTGTTAGGCAAGTTAACGAGTAAATAATTATTATTTCGTGTATGTGCGAATAACTGAAGAGGCTAACAATGGGATGAAGGAAAGATTGAAAGAATGTACGAAAGAAAAGAAATAATAAAGAATTACATAAATAAGCAAATAAATAATACATAAATAAGTGTGTGTGCGTGAGTATGTGTTTGTTTGTTTGTGTGTGTGTGTGTTGTGTTTGTGTGTTGTGTGTGTGTGTGTGTCAAAATTTAAAACAAAAAAATTAATCAAACTTTTACAGAAAAATCAAAAAACCCTCAAAAAATCATTAAAAAATTGTCTAAACTAACATTGACAAAGACACACGAGGTTGTATTGATAAAAACATTGCAACAATTATTATCATCGCTTCCAATCAATTGAAAAATGATTTTTATGATATATAACACTTTAATCCACATTTAAACAAATTTAGACACCGATAAACTTGTATGATCCTCAATAGTATGAAAAGATTATGTTTTACACTCATTGACTAATAGCGAAGATAATAAATATAACAAGATAACAATAATAAATTATATATAGTGGAATTAAACCATATTATTTGTATAATTACTTCTTGGGAATTAAACCCACTAAAACAAAATACCATAAATACCATAAAATTAAAAAATGGTAGGCCTTTTTGGTCTCTTAAAAAATATAAAAATTTGGTTTGTGACGTAATGTTATAATTGCTACATGGATCTGTGTTCTGTAAATATGTGTGTGTGTGTGTGGGATTGTGTGTGTGTGTGTGTGTGGGATTGTGTGTGTGTGTGTGTGTGTGTGTGGTGTGCTCTGCAACGTGTAATAAATGATATATGATGTTTATTGTGTGGTTGTCGTTAATTCGCGTTAATAATTAATGTTAGTGTTGTGTTACAATCAAAACAAACACGTTACATTTCATTGTGTTTTATTATTAATGTCTTTTTGCTGTCGCACTGAACCATTGTTGTTGTTGTTGCTGTCGTTGGTTTTGTAGTTGTTGATGCTGCTTCGTTGTTGATGTTATTGATGTTGTTTTTGTTGATGTTATTGATGCTGATGTTTAATGTCAATGATTGTGGGAAACCATTTTTTAAATACTATGCACCTCTTCATAGATTGATTCTTTCAAAGATATTGTTGTTGTTGTTGTTGTTGCAGCTGTTGTTGTTGTTGTTTGTATTTATTTGCGTATATATTTAAACAGCTTTTTACTAACGCGTAACAAACACATACACACGCGCGCGCACAAACAAACACACGAACGCACAAATAAACACACACAAATACCTATTTATTGATTCAAACTATATTTTGTTAACGTGTTTTTGAGAATTCTAACTTTCATTGTAACATACCATTAATTAGCATCCAAATAGAGTTTTTTGAATTGTCTATTATGTATTTCTGAGGTAACAACAACGACAGGAGACAAACAGCACGGGCAAATTACAAATAAACCGGAATGCACTAAAAAGACACACATGCATGCATGCATATGATTGGCGGAGATCTCCGAGCAATGGAATCCAGTTGTTGCAGCGGCAGTGTCAGGCAGCTTATCCATTTCTGATTTGATCATCAGTGAAGGTCGG